AAAAAAAAAAAAAAATCTGAATACTATTCAGGGGGCCGGACCAAATGTGGAGGCGGGCCGGATTCGGCCCGCGGGCCGTAGTTTGGGGACCCCTGTTATATACTAATACGGAGTGATATATAATTGTGAAATGGAAGGAAGAAGATACATGGCTTTCAATATTTTTTAAGAAATAAAAAAAAACTACATTGTGAAGTTGTGATTACAACATGTGGAAGTCATTGAGTGTTACTCTGGTTATTCTAAATCATGTAATTGAAAAGTAAATCTACCTAAACTTGACCTTCAACCTAATCTGAGCAGAGTAATTAATCGTGGAAGCAGATAAAAACTTCCTGGTGACTCTATAGGAGCTCTCTGCTTCTTTCTAGTCGGGGCAGAGACACACGTGCAGTTTGACACCTTTGGTTTATCAAACCAATTGAGAATCAGCAACAGGAAAAGAGTTTAGACAGCTTTGGTTATCTTGCAAAGAAAAATGAGCAAATCTTTCCTTTCCATCTCCATACTCCAAAAAACTTGGAGCTGTCACAGCAGCAAGAAGCCACTCTATCAAGTATTATGTTGGTTTGTCACATGAAGTTTTAGCAAAAATGCAACACATCGTGTGGATGTAACATGACAAAGTGTGAAAAAGTGCAAGGTTGGTGAATAATTTTACACGGCATTATAAATGGTGTGTGATTTCTGCTGTCAGCAGTAGTTATTGCTCCAAAAATATGTGTGTGTCTGTTTGTAGGACAAAGTGTGTGTTTGCACTGCATGCTGTGGCGACTGAGGTTTGAAACGCAAGAGGAGAAATTCCCACAAGTCCTGTTTTATCCTTAAATGGGAAACAAAGTCCAAGAAAAAGGATGCAGGATGCGAACTCTCCCCGGCAGAAAAAAAAGTACGAGTCCCCACTCTCATCATCCTACCTGCTGATCCGCTGGTCATCTTTGCAGCAACCTAGCATGACAAAGAAGAGAGAAGGAGACAGAAATGCAGATAAGTACAGAAATAGAAGCAGCAAAATATACAAGTAAAGGGTGAATTTCCTCCAAAGCTTTTGGGAATGTAAACGCGACATTGGCCAAAAAGATGGTGCCCCGTTTTCATCGGTCCGCTCAGACTGCAACAGTAGCAATGCTGAGAAAATTACATTTCTTTGTAAACTCATTTCCTAGGTGGAGAAATATGTGGACTAGTTGTTTCCTTTAGTTAATTAATGCGGCTACATTCCTTTCATGGATTGGCTTAAATCCTAAAATATAATGTTAGATCTGAGAAAATGGGAAAAGATTTTTACAAGTGACCGAATCTACCTGTGTCCTCTCTTTAGAGTGAGAGATGAAGATGCAAAAACAAAATATCACATTAAAGGTTAAATATAAAGATGGACAGAAGAGCATATTATGGTTAAAGTCTGCTATCAACTCATAAAGTATGATATGATGAATGTGGTTCTGTTTTCAGCAGGTCATCTCTAGCAACCTGTTTTGTTGCTACCTTTTGTTGAATGGCCGCTGCTAAAGCTGAACTTAATTGTCCACCTTCTGTCTGCATTTTGTCTGAGTGTGAACTAGTGAAGGAGCATTACGACTGAGGCTAAAAAATCTATTTGTTCCAAGACACACTTTCAGAAATGTGCTTTTAGGGAAATAGGATGCCTAAAAGTCATACTGATACTCAAACGTTACATTTATTTAAATGTGTAGGTGTGTGTATGTCTGTGTGTTTAAGGAGGAGGGAGGGAGAGTTCGTTTGCACAGCTGTGCTTTATCAGTCACAGTTAGGGGGAAAATACACCCACCCCTGCATCAAACTGAGCGCCCCCTGCTTGTCCCTCTGCCTGCCTACCTGCTCAGTAAAACATAAGCTGAGCGCAAACGACAGTATCCTGTAATGGGGTTCATTCATATATAATGATCATAATGGGTTTCAAGTTAAAGAGAATGTTTCGTGAGATTTGGAGACACTCTACACACAGGACAAGCGAGCTGGTGGGAATTTAAGCCAGAAAAGATTACGCATAAATATTGTGTTTTTATTGAGTAATAAAATAAATAAATGATCAAATTGTACCTTGCTGTTGACCTCATCAGATTGGGTAACTACTGAACATTGCAACATGAGCTTTGAACTAATGCTTCTTTTTGGGCAACCAATTTGAACAACACCAGCTAACACCCATAAAGCCTCTTTAATGCTCTGAAGTATTGAAAAGCTTTCAGTTGAATACCACTGTGGCATAACTGGCATGATATGGAAAAAGTCGCACGAAACCAACTGTTGGCAGTCCTGTGCTATGGGGCAATGTTTTCAATAACATGTAGATATCGAATTATTTGATGCATTTCAGTTTAAAAAAAAAAACACACATTGTGCACTTTGCACACATTTACAGATGCATAATTTATTTTCTGCAGAAAATTAACCATTTTTATTTTTGTTCTGAAAAATCCTTCAACTTTACATTCATTCCTGCGTTCATTTCAAACGCTCTTCATCACTGCATTTTAATTTTATTTCCTTGTGTCATGAGTGGGGGTTGAAGTGGTGAGGAGAGAACGCTGAGACCCAGGTTATGGTGATGATGATGAATTTAATGGTGAAAATAAAGCTCTACAGTCCATACAGGCAGCACGGCAGAAACTAGCACACAGCTAAGTACCGGTAGCAACTGATACACAGGACAAAAACGAGAGCTAACGCTATCCAGGACTTTACAGTTCTACTGGAGCGGAAACAAGACGTGACTTAGACACAACGAACTTAGACACAGATTAACGACAAGGACCCGACGAGGAACACAGACAACAGGTGGGTTTAAATACAGACGGGGTAATCAAGGGAATACGACACACCTGGGGAGCAATCAACAGGGAGGACAGAGACTCACAGGGAACAGGACTACACAGGGAAAACAGGACTGAAAACAGAAGAACTCCAAAATAAACACACAGAAACCCAGGGATCATGACACCTTGGTAGTTCAGTATTTTTAAGAACTACAAACAAAACAAATAAAAAAGGCATAAAGAAGGAAATAAAATAATAAATAGATGAATTATTTATTAAGGTTCCATCGCCTGTGTTGACCAGTCCACTCCAATAAATTATGAAATGTATTGACTCCTGATTTGACAAAAATAACTGTTTTAACCGCTGTAAATTATGATTGTATTATAGAAATGTATTAAAATTCTCAGTTGTCAAAGCAGGTTTTAAAGGTTTTCCTTCCTGTGGGTATAAATTGACATGTGTGTGTCAGAAAATGTCCCAGATCAGTTTACATCCTTTCATTAGTTTCAAAACCACAAAAACAAAGGTTTGACATAGCAAACAAGCAAAATGATCGGCTTCCTTTTAGGTTCTCTACCTTTAAATATTAGCCATTTAGAAAACTAAGCCCTTAACCAAGTGGCGCTCTTGAAATTCAGAGGTTTAATCTCTTTAAAATGTTTTATTTCTTCACTCTGGCTGTCAACAATACGCTTTCAATCCAAATAGTTCTGCGATTATTACATTTTCAAAATCATACGAGTGATGTTCTTTGTAAAACATCAAGAAAAAATACATGTTGGCTTAAAGAAGACATTTCTTTTTATTCTCCCTTATCTGTCTGACTGTTGTAGCACAGTTGTGACTGTGCTGACTGGGCAGAAAGTGACCTTGTAAATTCTGCTGCGCGGAGCAGATCTGTCTCACCGCTTTACACTCATCTTATTTATAAAACAGCAGGGGCAGAATAAACCTTGACTGAGTTTCAGGCAGAGGGGGAACATGATGTAACAAAGGGACAGAGAGAATATCAAAACATAACAGATTTTTTTTTTTTTCAGCAAAAGCCTTTGTGTAAGATGTCAGGTAAAACAAGGTGACTCACAGATGAGGACAGAGGGTGATATGTCACAGTGTGCTCAAAAGCAAACCACAGATGTTCACTTCATCTCTTTCCTTATGAAACACTGGACCTGTGACCGTTTTTACCCAAAACAGGCTAAAGGTTTTACTCAGAAATCAGATTTGACTCAGCTGAGTGACTGATCAGTTTATATCGGTCTGTGAAGCTCCTGTGTGCGAGGTCAGCTTCAAAGTGCTTCATGAGTCTGTAATGCAATCAAAAGTCTGAGAGGAGTCACAGACCTGATGTCAGTATGAAAGAGCAAAGCAAAACGGGCCTCAGCGGCGTTCTCATGGGAGACGCTGCTCCAGACGGTAACCGACTTGCATCAGAAACTCTAAATCAGAGCAGTTAAAAATGGGCTGCTTTTTTTTTTTTTTAAGTTTCTCACTGGTGCAACCGGAGTGTCTCACCCAGGCATGACGAGCTTGGAGATGCGTAGGAGACGTGAGGGAGGAGCGGGTCAGTGGCCTGCTGCGGGTCAAGGGTCGTGAGCGGCATCTGGTCAGCGGCTCAGGTTTGTCTGGAGATTTGTGGGCTCCTTGATCCGGGCCTGTTCGGACTGTCATCCTGAACACAGTCTGGGCACCCTGGAGGAAAGGAGAGAGAGACAAACAAGCTAAGAAAAGGAAATAAAAATTTTTTACATCCACTACACCTAAATAAGATTTTAGCCGCCCAGATGAAAACAAAAGCATGTGGTTTATATGTGGATACCAAACAATGTTGTTCTCTTTATTGATCCGAGTTCTACTTCTGACCAAACCTCTCATAATATTTCATATCATATATTAAAAATCATAACTAGAATGTTCACAGTTTTGATCAGCTGTCAGTGGTGTTACCACGCTCAACTCTTTATGCAAATTTTGTAATCTTTCAATGTCTATGGGAAATTGTTTGCTAATTTTGTCAGATTATATATTAGTTTTTCTGGTGGGAAATCAGACAGTTTTATTTTTTTTTAAGTTTTTTTTATTTTTTTTTATTCTTTTGTTGTAATTTAAAGGTTTTGATGTTACACCCAAGAGCAACTTAACTTTGAAAAACACATTAATAATAGAGCATGCTTTGCACGCTTTCATTTATATAATACTATTCTATGACACCCATCCCTTAAAACTAAAACTGCACTTCTTATATAGTCTCCACATCTCTGGTTTAAGTCATATCTCTTGGATCATTGTCAGTAAATACAGTTTAAAGTTGTCAGTGGTGTTCCTCGAGTTTATAAACTAATACATTTTTACAGCTATAGGTCACATTTTTAGCATAGATGATACAGTTTGGGGTATTTTTGCTCAAGATCATGTTTGATTTTTACTGTTGACATTGTAATTTCTTCATCATAGCGCTAATAATAATTAGTGAGGAAACCAGGTACCAACTATTCAACTGTGCAGCCCACTATAATTGTTACTAAAGTTTTATTTTATTTGAGAATCACCAGAACAACATGACTTCTATCAACTTTTAAATGCTTATTATGTTAATCAGTGTAAGGGTAAATTCTGCAAAACTTAGCAAGTCTCCTGCATTTTCAGTGCGTACCAGCAGTAAGCAACAAAAATATTTATTATGTTTTAATTCAGGTAACCTTCATGTGTAAAACCATAAAGATCTCTAGCTCATCCCATTCAGCAGCAGACTAAACATGTGTCTCTTACCGCTCCCTGTGTCTTCATGCTGCCCGTCTCATCAGCAGGTCTGTTTCTCTGGTTTCTGTCCAGTAACCTGTGAAGCTGGTGACGATGTGAAGCGATTCAAGATTTAAGACCTTGCTGACAATTTATCGTTCCTTCTCACATTCTGAAAAAAAGTCCCACCCTAATCTTGGCTCTCCTTCCGCTGCCTGAGCTCAGCTCATTGACAACAGTGGAAAGTCCAATCCAGCCTGACCCACTCCACTCAGGTTCTGCCGCTACTGCCCACTTCAGTGGGAATACCCACTGATGTGCTTCCCGCTTGCCCCTTCCAGTCAAACACCGAGCTGATAAGATGCATGAGTAACTGATGGAGAGGAAGGAATGACTTTCATTTCTGTAGAAGAGGGTCTATTTCACAAATACTCACAAAGAGATTATTTTCTGCTTGTTTTGGCACACAACGATTCTGTTTTCAGAAAATTCCCTTCATGATCTTACAAAGGATTTCCATCATGGTGATGAACAATGCTGCTGCTAATGCTCCCATTGTGTGGCTGGAGATGAGTCAGCAACATGGTGCTCCACTATGGCAAAAATAAAAAAATAGAGATGAATTTTTCTCATTTTAATTTCTCTTTTTGGATGTTTCACGTGGCATTTTGAACCTGATATTTTTATTCATGCCTGCTTTTTAAAACATTAAGAGTCATTTAACCTATTGATCTTTTCGGTTACAACAAATGATCCCTGCAAAAGCCAAATGGTGCATTAGATATGAAATGACAGAAAGTTGTTTCCTAAATTATCCAAAGCATTTTTTGCTATCAATAGCTGAATGTTTTCACCATGAAAAGTCAATCTTATAATGCGGACAAGTTTTTGGAGCATTTAGTCCTGCAATAATCACGTTAAGGTTGGAAAATCAAATTTGTCTTGACTCGTTTAGTCTCAGCAATGGATTTTAGACATGGTTCATGTCTGGACTCTGGCTGGGACTCTTTAAAATGTTTATATTGGCTTCTGTTAAATATTTTTTTTTACCACTTGACCCTCGCAGTGAATGTCAGGGATCACCATCTCAGAAGGTCCAGTACGACCTGAGGCCAGGTTCTTTTCTGCGTCTTGTTTTCTAAAAAGAATTTTAATACGATCCATTTTCTTCCGGATGCACTGAAACTGACAACATTGTTTTTAAAACGGTCAAAGCATTACAATCCTGTCACCTGACATTGATTACCTCTTCTGCTGACATTGTCAGTTTTTGCCCCTTCTGACAGCTAAGATGTTTACCATAAACACTGAAGAGGTCAAGTTTTTCACAAACCAGATTCACTTCTGTGTGTCAAGCTCTGGCTTCAGTTGATACCACTGGGTGCATAAGAGATTTCTTATGGTTTGTTTTTGACGATATATATCTTTTTGCCACTTCCAAATAGATCAAAACAATTAGTGTGAATAACTAATAGTTATTCTACCAGCAGATTATTCCACCTGAGTTGTGGATCACTGCAGCTTCCACAGAGTTGCCAATGGATGGATATTTGGCTGCTTCCCTGATTAATGCTCGTCATGTCTTGGTAGGTTTGCAGTTTGTTGGTACTCTCCACATTTTAATTATTAAATTACACACAGGTGCATACTGTTTACAAATGATGCTCTTCCTGAAGGCGAATGAATGCACTGGATTTTATTTACTGGCAATTTGATATTTTAGCTGAAGATTGTGCAAACTCCACCTTTGGTAAATTTACATGTACTGAGGTGAGTTCCACAACCCACAGGTTATTTTGACGGTTTTGACATTAGACTGATCACTTATTCGTTCCCCAGACAATGAGGTTGCATGTAAATAGTTTTGAGTTATTCCGGTGAACAGTTTGCAAAGATCATGCAGGTCTCTGCTTGCACAGCGAAAAATAAATACATAAATAAACAGACTGATGCCTGAAGGAAACTTTGGCAGAATTTAAAAGTCTGTTATGCAACATCTTGAAATTAGAAAAACTAATTTCTATATATTTCCTAAATATGTTCTGCAACAAGCTATAATCCCACTTCTACGTGTCCACTCATACATGTCACGATGTTCATTAACGTTGCACTTCTGCACTGAATTAGCAGACAATGAGGCAAACTGCTAAATGTGTCAACATAATTCGTTGCACCGCTGTGTCTCTAACAAGCAAAACAGTTTAAATGGGATTGTTGTGGTGCAATTTCAACAGTTTTATGAGCATTCCTTAACTTCTACATGGTTTGAAAGCTATTTGAGGTTTACTCATTTACACTCAGTAAGGATAATGAAGCATCTGGAATGTCATGTAGGAAAAGAACAGCAGAAGGGTCACTGTGATCTTTTGGTCCACAAAATATGTTTGCTACGCCTTTAAAGCTCCAGCGAGGAATGATTTGACATCTGTTGTTTCTGTGGAAGCAGTTATTTTACCACATGAACGGCATGGAAATCCAATCGGATTATAATTTACTGTTCTAGTGAAAAATTAATGCACAGTCATCATGAGCATGGATGCCATCTCCATTTTGGATGTTCTCCTTTCCAGGGTGATTAAATAATTATAAAACATTGAACTATTCAATGGTTGGGTTTTTTTTTTTTGTTTGTTTTGCAGTGTTTCTATAATCAGCAAATTAAAAATGATAAATAAAAGCTTTCTTTAGGTTTAGCCTAATTTTTTAAATAAGTGATGCTGAAGGTTCTAAGATTGGTTTAAATTTAATAAACCTCAAGCCTCAGAAATCCTTATTAAAGACTGTTATTGTCTTCATTTGGTAATTTCTCCTCAGTGACCTAAAAATCTCTTAATGACTTGAGATATACTGCAGGAAAGAAAAATCTAAATTGACACAAGTTGGAAAAGTCAGCTAGATCCATTGTTAAACAATTGCAGATCTCAAGAATCAGTAATAAATACCAGTCATTAATTTGGTTGCCCTCTTTGGTAAGACTTGGAGAAAGACCCAAACTGTCACCCTTTATGAAAATAAATTTATCAGGATGATCTGGAACAATTTTGAACATGCAGCTAGATGGCTGGAATGTGGGCCTAATGGGGTGTTCCAGCGGGAAAATGATCACAAACATGCATCCAGACATCCAGGGTGTTTCAGAAAGGGATAAACCAGACCAACATTAAGCTTCTGGAAAAGCCTCCCCAAAGCCCTGACCTGCAAAACTCTGAACATTTGCATATTGTGCCTAAATGTCAGGTCCATGTCAGAACACTGTACCGGTTCTGTAAATCAGACTGGACTGCCAGACTACCAGGGGCATGCTGAAGGCGAAAGAAGTGATTCTGGCGTCTCTGCAGATCACTAAGGGAGATTTACCTAAACACAAATGAATGTGTATTTAGACACAGTGTGTATTTAGAGTGTATTTATTTTTAACCTGTATTGATAAGACAAAATCCTTAATTAATTCAAATTTGTGCACCAAACCTCTGTCTTTCAAACTCACTGAGGTTTCTTGTTGTTTTATCTCTCCACCCTGGAAGATATGAATATCCAGTCTGAGCAAAATTCTAATTATCTAAATAAATAGCTTGGTAGCTAAAACCAAGAGTCTAATAAATCGAATAAGGCGCAAGCCTGAAATGAAAGAAAAGGATAGTGTTTGTGTTATTTAAAGTTAGCATAGAGCGCTTTCAAAATGTATTACAGTTCTATTCATAACCTTGTTGTTTTTGCTCAGATGAGCCTGAGACAACACCATCTATATTCATGAAGCTATTCATCAATCACATGTGCTGCAAATCTAAATCAGGCTTACCTTGGTGCCCTGCTGCTCCGCCTTGACTCGAACATCATTTGTGTGGCAGGAATTAGAGTTTTGGATGTTTTGCATTCCCTCACTGAGGTGATCCAATTTCTTCATCAGCAGGATCATGGAGTCACACTGCTGAGCACACAAGACAAAAACCAAAATAAGTGGAAATGAAGGTAAGTACAGCTCAAGGTAGCAGACAATTCATGTGCAGCTCTTTAGATGAACCTAAAGCTCAACCCTTCTCTTCCTCATTCAGCCATTCCAACCTTCATTGCCTCAATGATCCGTTCTTCAGTCTGACTTGTGATGCAAATCAATAGAGATTCTGTGAGGACAACAGAATGTGCAGAATAAGAATAAAACCAAAGCATAGGCCTACAGGTTGTAAGCATTAATATACACAATGTGAGATGCCGGATGTGCCCATGCTAAAGTTATGCAAAGGTCTAAATCATTTCTGTACTTTGTCAGTAACTGGTGGTAATTGAGTCTGACTGAGATGCTTGTTCGCTGGCCTTCCAGGAAATGAACAAACTGCTTTGTTTCTGAGCTCCATTGCCAATCCCAGAGTCCCATAGGCTGATAGCAGCATATAAAGACCCTTTGAAGGAACTGCAGTCCAAAAACAGCCCCCTCACTCACACAGCTACATGCATACTCACAGGCATGCCCTCACAACACAACCCACCCACTCATCTACCCACTCACGCTCACAAACACACCCTTTTCTCCAGTCCCAAAACTATCATGTCGACCAGCTTAAAAAATATCTGCAGTAACTGCTTTGGCAGTAAAACCATTTCCTGTGTGTTGCGGCCCCCACATCCCCCAGATTCCTACGCAGCACAGGAGCACAGAGGGCTGTCTGTGCACAGCAGGGTGCTATTTTTACCCTCACTGTGGGGGGACAGATCCAGGGCGAGGTGGGGGAACTGAGCCACTGGAGGCTTTTCAGTTACAAGAATGACTGCCAGCATGTACACATGCTGAAAGTCACTGACACATAAATGTGCTAATGCACTGCAGCACACATAGACACACACAGACGCAGCAGTGTTGCTCTCTAAGTTCATGAAATGTTAATAAGATTCTGTCCAGAGCGTCCACAGGGGCAGAGGGCCTTTAATTCATCGATGCTTAAAGCAGCAATTCATTATTGGACTCATACAAAGGAAACAAACACTGTTATAAATAACTACTACGATGTGTAGTGTTGGCTGTTTTCAAGCGAATTTCCAATGAAAAAGCTAAGGAGAGGGATGAACCTCTCTTCATCTGCTGATGAAGGTGAAGGTTCATTTAGTATCCGGTGAACCTTTTATGTTTCCCTGTTTATTAGATTAGGGATAAGTCTTACAGTCAAATATTAAACATTTCAGCCTTTTTGCTGCATTAAATCATCTCTGATTAGCCTAAAGATTGAATGTTCTTTGGCATTTTACACCAGAATGCATTATTTTTTTATTTCCTATACTCTGTAGAGTATAGGAAATATACTCTACAGAGTATATTTCCTATATACTCTGTAGAGTATATAGGAAATATATACTCTACAGAGTATATATTTCTGTATATATACTCTGTAGTATATATACTACAGAGTATATATACTTTTGAGTCTTTTAGTCATAGACTCAATAAAAAAATTAAGTCTATGACTAAAAGCAAGCTGACAATTTGTTTTTACAAATCATTTGACTAGTAAAAAAGTTAAAAAGACAAATAAGTGGTTGTAAAAGTTAGACATCTATATCAAAAAAAGATCTTTCTAATGAATATTTGCTCAGTTACCAGTTACTGAATTAACTTTTTCGTAATTTACCGGTTAAACTCCAGGTCTCACAGCAGACCCACCCAGAAGGTTTTGCATAAAAGGTCTTAGTCTTGGACCATTTGTGATGGGAGTAAATGCTTTTTAGTGTCAGACCTTGTAAAAAAAAATGCAGATTTATTTATTATTTCTCAGAGATGTAGGAAAACCAGAAGAGTCTAAACGCCTTAGTAACTGGAACAACAACTGCAAACCTTAAACTTTTAAGCAGGTGTATAAACAGGATTTTCTGCAAGTCCTCCAGCAAGGGATTGTTCAGCCAAACTGTGGAAACATCATCACAACGGAGGTGCAGGCAGAGATAATCCTTTCATTTCAGGAAGAGAGGAGGGAGCAGAGTGCAAGAGGACCGTTATGGGAGCGTGCCAGAGACTGGGGGTTGGGGTGGGAGCAATCTGACAGGTGTGAGAACAAAGTTAGGGACACATTCGCTTAAAGAATGACTGCTGGTGCAGTGCATGCAGGGTTATAACAGATGCCAGGCAGTGCAAGAGGAAAATATGAAAGGAATTTATTACAGGCAGTATTTCTGAGATAGAATAACTCCTAATTGGACATCTTCACTTTTCTCTAAAGAATACTAACTGTAGATTTACTACACTAAAAGAAAAAGGGAAAATGTTGTTTTTGTCTGAAATAATCTTCGCAGAAATCAGAAATTTATTTACAAAAACAATGTAGTTAAAGCCTGTTAATGTTGCAATGTTTATATTTCAATATTATTTACAGCATACAGTCTAAATCAGGACATTTTACTAGTTAATTTATCACATTTTAACAGTATTTTAACTGAGGTCATTATGTACAAAGATCCCTCATTATTATGCAGAAAGTCTTGATCCTAAGCAGGAATGAGGTCATTTTAAATTATCTGGAAATGTTCGACTTCGCTGCCCTCTAGTGGTACAAAATGTATTACAAGAGAGGTTAAGATTGTGCATAGTTCGTGTTCACGGTGGTTCACGACGAGATTGAACTTTATCATTTAGTGATTGATACAGTAAAGAAGAATGACCAACAACAAGTGACATGAAAAACATGAACATGCCTGAACTTTTAAATGCATTTTGTTGCCTTACAGCCAGAACCGAACCTTCAATGTATTTTGTTGGAACTTTTGTGTCGCAAACAGACTATCGCAACGTATTGCATATCTGTGGAAGGAAAATAAAACATACTTTATTTTATATATAAATTAATTCTGTAAAGTGTGGATATCAGTTTAAAACCTCCGATAAGCCACTCACCGACACAACAAACAGGTGAGAGAAGGTCCTCTGTTTCTGAAAACAAAAGTGAATGTTTGGCCCCCAAGCAAAATACAATTTTTGATGTAAAACTACTCATTGCCTCTTTAAATAAGGTGGTGGCAGCATCAGGCTGAGAAGATGTTTTTCTTAGACAGGAAATGGGAGCTGACAAGAGGTGATGAAGGATGGAAAGAGTTAAATGCAGCCTTAAAAAAGTTAATGTGCACAGAAGTGCTCATTCAATTTGACAGAAGACTGACTTTATGAAGGGAAGAACCAATAAAAATGTCAGTATCTAGATCAGCAAAGCTGGTTGGACACATACCACAAAAACCTTGTCGAGGAAAGTTTTCAAAAACTCTGTACTGGCAAAATTATCCACTTATTTTTCTTGGTTTATAACCTAAAATCACAATATAATGCTTGTGGCAGTAATTTGACAAAAGCTCAAAGTTTAGGTATACAATGAAATACTGAGGTCAAGAAAAATACCAGCTGTTTTCATTTACCTGCCGTGTATCCTCTTCCTCCTTGCCACCTGCACACTCGGGTCTCGTTTTGCTGTTGGAGGTCTTTGGCCGGTCAGCTGCAGGGCCATGAGGCAGAACCTCTGGCCTCTTCCTCAGAAACTTTCTGTTTTTGTTCAAACTCCTACGATGGCGACTGACCAGAAACTCCTTGTACTGCAAAGTTTCAGGGAATTCATCAACATCAGCATCTTCATCTTCACTCTCTTCTTTGGAAGTGGAGGAGGAAGAGGAGGACTCCCTGCCGTCAGAACTCTCCTTCCCAACAGCGGCATGGCTGCCTTCATAATCGCAGAAAACAATCGCACTTGGCTTATGTTTTACTATTCGAAGCACGTCCGGTGAGGTGTCCTCTGACGAGTTCACGCACTCAAACAGATGGTTGTCACAGGACGTGTCCAGGAGTGGTGAAAAGGCAGAAGGGATCTCAGCAGGATGGGGCGTCACCGCGGGGCGCTCTTCCTGCTGCTCAGGTGCTGCAGCTCCTCTCTGTTTCACATTCCGTTCTAAAAATAGAGGACCACTCCGAGCAGCATCTCCACCGTCAGTGTCTGTCACCTCTATGTCCTCTAGAGCAGATCCGGAAGGCGTGTAATCACTCTCACTGAGGCCAGACGTGCTGTCGATCTTCAGATCCTTCCAGTGTTTAACGTGGCTGGCCACAGGATCCAGCGTGGCATCAAAGAGAGAAGCAGGCCCAGACATGGCTCTCAGTTGGCTGTTGAATTGGGGAGGGGGGGAAACTTGCCCTTGCACTTCACTTAGAAAGACATCCACAGCCTGCGGGTAAATATGCCTGTTAGACTGCTCTTGATCAGGCGGTGCAACCATCACTGCCGATCTCCTCCTCGGCAACTGCAAGTCCTGCTGTCACCATGACGTCGCGTTATTAAAGCAGTCCGACGAATGGAATCAGGTGAAGCTGCTGAACTTATGCCAACAGCTTGGTGTGGACCACAATTGTAATCCCCAAATGCTTTGGGTTTCCTGCACAGAGAAGAATAAAAGACTGAGTTTTGGACAAACTCGCTCACGCTCACACGTTTTCACATGTGCAAACTATGAATAATATGCAGTAGGCATGTGTTTCAGTCACAGAAATCTGGATTTGCAAAGAGAAGAAAGTGAAGACTGAAACTTCTGCTACAACTCTTGGGTGCAAGGCAGCCATATTGGATTCTGAGGCTGGCGTTTGTGAATAACCTCTGACCTATTCGCAACAAATTCCAACACAGTAAAATTAAGCAGCATCAATGAATAACACATTTTTCCCCAGCCTTGTTGTAACTGCATTTCAAAATGACAGTATGGAAACACTTTAACCTTTAACAACTCTGAGTGTACAGAGATGACAAAAAAAAAAAAAAACTAGTTGCTAGTCATTAAATTGAGCTTATGATGATTTATTGATCCAGCCGTAGCTCCCTAACAATTAGGTTCCCAGATAATATCTTTTAGTTGGTTTTATTTATTAAAAGAGAAAGCTATCCAAACCAACTTGGCTCTATATGAAAAAACAAATGCACCTAAACTTTATAACTGCTGGTGCCTCCCTTGGCTGTAACAACTCCTATCAAACTATGAGTCTTTTACATCATTGCAGAGGAATTTTGGCCCCCTCTTCTCAGCGCAATTGATTTAATTTAACCACACTGAAGAGTTTTCAAGGACAAATGGTCTGAATAGGGTCATGCTAAAAGTTTTACATTTAGTCCAGGCTTGGACTTGACCAGTCATTTTCCTCCAGGACTACAGGTTTGGTAGTAATTTTGTGTGCTGAAAATGAACCAAAACAGTTAATAAATTATTTAAGAAGGAATGCAGATATACTTTCACATTGGAATTTTGTTTTTACTCTAGTTATCTTTGTAATGTTGAAATTTGTTTGACGATCTGAAACATTTTAGTGCAACAAAAAAGCAAAAGCAGGAGAAATCCGTGAGCATGCAAAAACTGTTTAATGGTAAGATGCACGGAATAGCTCAGGAAAAAATATATATAATTTCTTATACATTTTGCAGATTGAATGTGATCTATCAGATTAAATGCCCATTGGCATAAACACTGGTTTTCCCAACCCAGGCTGTCAGACATTTTTCTTCCTTTTCTTTTTTTCCACAAAGGCATTTTTCTAAAACACATTGTTTTTTCCTGGTGGATTGCTATTCTTGGCTGCAGCCATCACACCCTTTCCTCGCCTCTGTCTCTGGGTTCTTTTCCTTTCCCCAACAAGAAGTCTTAAAATCAGGGTCAAAATCTTGAAAAGACCATCTAAAGTTCAGATACTGTTCCAGCACAAGTAAGGAGGCGTAAGAAACCTTTTGAAGAGACGCGTCTCATAATAAATATTTAAGTCAGGATGTTGAAATAGTGTTACTGCAAGGCATCTGGCTGCTGTGCACCACAACACTGCAGATTTACACTTGAATATGAAAACATTTGGGAGCTTTAATTTTTCTAAAAGTAAAAGATAAATTTAGATTTGAGCATACCAGACTTTTTCACAGAAGCTGAAGACCTCTTCCACCACAACATTCTGAAGTATGGACATCAAAAGAAAGCATCCAACACTGACAGAAACGATTCACAGACTGGGTTTATTTAGTTGTAAAGATGTAATACACTGAGAGGGGAGGAGGGAAAAAGGCTGAGGAATGTGTTTCCCTCCTACATTACCTCAGCGAGAAGAGGGGCAGTTCCACAGGCAGGTGTTTGAACTGCTGGAGTACGTGTGTGTGTGTGTATGTGTGTGTATGTGTGTGTGTGTGTGTGTGTGTGTGTGTCTATGGAGACTGGCCATTGTTTTTTCATGGAAATATATGTAAGTATGCACAAGCAGGGGAAGCGAAATGACAACGTGTCACGGATTAAAGCAGATCCGTAGGTTTCGGGTCCTTCCCCCTCCTTGTTGCACGTTTTCCCTCTTTTGCTGCGCTACATGGCTCAGGGCGACGGATTTTTCACCTCACATGCAAATTCCTCAACAAAGCATGAGGTAATGCTTTAAAATGTTATTAACTCCTGTCAATATATGCCACATCTCCTGGCTTCAGGAACAGCAATAAGGTTTTTGCAGAGTACGTAAAAAGTCATGTTTTTTTGCAGAGCTGTCAATGGACTGTGGAATTCCTCAGGTTTGCCAGAAAATAATCAATTTCAACATTTTGGAGGGAATGTCTCTGGTCAGGAGTGGAAACCTGCAATTTAGACATTTGTGATGGAGATGAATGTTCCTGTTGAGGCCTGTCCAGTTAGAAAGGAGATCTGGTCACAGAAGGAGGATGTAATAATACCAGTGTGTACGTAACCAAAAGTTTCTGTAAAAATCTGTAGAAATATGTCTTGTATTCCAAATAAAGTAAACTTTCAGAAAAGACAACATGGGAAAATACAAAAAAAGCAATGTTTTTAAATGACGGTTTCATTAATTAAGGATTAAAAGCTGTCCAAATCAAACTGACCGTGTGAAAAAGTTATTGACCCTTAAACCAAATTTTCGGTTACACCACCCTTGGTAGCAACAACTGTCATCAATCATTTGCAGTGATTGATAATGGGTCTTTTACACTGCTGTGGAGGAGTTTTGGCCCTTTTTTTTTTTTTTAGAACAAATCAGTTTAATGCAGTTTTATACTTACTTCTGTGTTATATGGAACTTTTTATGGAACAAATGATATGTGTAAGGGCAGCTCAATCTGATTAAAGTCCATACTTTCACTGGGCTGGTTCAGAGGTGGGCCTGGTTTGTGCTTTGGATCATTGTCAATTTGATCTTCATGTCACAAACTGATTGACTGACGTTGTCCTTTAGGATCTTCAGAACAGTGTCGAAGAAGCTCAACAATAAAGACAAAGAACACTGGCTCTGTTTGGGGACTGTTCTGGAACCCCTGGAGATGAAGACGCAAATAAAGATTGTTCATAAAATGAAAAACATTACAATAGCATCCTCTTAATCAGACAACCATACAATAATAAATTGTCTTCAGTCAGAGGTTTTTTCAGATATGGTGTGATACTGATCACGACAGGAGATCAACCCTTTTCTTATCCATCAGCATCTTTTAAAACTCTTTGAAAAAGGCATTATAACTGAAGTCACAATATTTACTTACACTGTGGGATTAATAAAGTATTTCCGCATCGAGTTGAACTTGACAGGGTACAAAAAATATTTTTTCTTTGCATCTGTTTGCATAAACTTTAATGAAATCATGAGCCGAGTGAAATACCTTTTCAAACATCCAGATTTTTACAGATTGCCATTGAGATGATTCTGCTGCATTAATATAATCCAAGAATGTGTTTCAGTGCAAGCTACGCTAACCTGCTCAGACATGCTACATATATAACATTCCTGCCACAGAGAGGTATATTTACCTCAGCCAGGTGGAAGAAAGGTGAAGAGGACAACAGGCTGTAGCATTCGGATAAATAACTACAAAGAATACAAAGAATCAGATTTATCTGGAACAGTTTGTTTAACAGCTGCAGATGCAAAAACAAAGCAGAAAAAAGGTGTATAAAATGGAGAAACGGGAAAGACTTGACAAGTTTTCACTAAGCCAGAGAGCCTAGCTAAGATTATTATTCATCTTGAACTTTTTTTTTTATTTTATATATATTTTATTTAAATGTTTATGCTTTTGGACAGCTGCATATAAATACACACAACACTTTTTAGATATTTGTTAAAAAGTTTGAAGCCAAAGTATAATCTTCTTCTTCTTCACACTCATTGGCCCTATGTGTTGGTCAATCACATAAAATGCATGAAAGAAAGTTGATTGTAGAAAAAATGTGAAAAATAATCAACGGAAGATGTTGTGTGTAAGCCGTGTTATCGTGAAAGCATGTACTGTTTACGGTGTCTGAGATGTGTAAAAAAAACCTCAGATCAACGTTTTGACAACAAGCATTTCGTAGATTTTAGAAGATAAAGGCAGGGAGTGTGTGCAGGAAATATAATTAACATTCTGTGGAGTGGGAGGGAGGATACAATGACTGAATCTTTGAACCGGAAACTGACTGGATTTAAATGTAAATTTTTAGATACTTCCTTTTATAAGACAAAGAATATGCCAACCCAGGTGAAATAATAAACTGGACAAAGAATTTCATTAAATCTCTTCTCACTCCTTTTCATGATGAGAGGTTAGGATTAGCTCAGTGTCAGTGCGTCCTTTTGTTTCCAATGCAGATTAACCGTCTTATTTTTTCTTTATCTTATCAGATTGTTTCATGCAAAAGATTCATGCTGTCAAAATAAAAGGACCTATAGAGGACGGCTGTGAGCTGTTATGTAAGCATAATTGTTTGCTTTTACCTGAATGAACAAAGACTGACAAACCACCCTGTGACTGGAGCATCTGAATTACACTCTACCAGGGCCTGCAATGAACTTCCCAACTTCTTTTTACAGAGATGTTGTTGCATCTGATCCGATTCAAATATTAAACCCATTCATCTTATCAGGTGTTGTCTCCTAGGCTTTAACATGAATTATGAAATTACTACTATTAAAAAAAAAATAATAAATCTGGAAAAGTAGCAGTTGGAGAATTACAGGTCCATCTTCGACCTTCCATTCACAAGAGAAAATTGATTGAAAAATGTGCAGTTAAATACCTTGTTAGCAATGACCAATCACTTTGACATCTTTCAGTCTGGTTTCCATTATCACAGTACGGAGATAGGCAGCCATTGTCAATGTGAAACTGTTAAATTACATCCATTTAAATGCGGACTGTGGAAGAACCACGGTGCTGGTATTGTTGGAGTTCAGGGGAAGCATTTCATAACTTTATAACAACGGTGTCTGATAAGTATATAAAGTAAATGAACTTACATTATGTTTAACAATGCAGCAGGGTAGGGGTCTATTTTTGTCCTTACTACTTCTGTTATATGACGGGCCTTGGCACATTTAGAGGTTTTTGTCTCCTTGGAGTCTCCGTACCGCGGCACAGGAAGTGAGGCAGGGCGGTTGATTACGTTTAAGAAAACATTTCGCGGGAGATTAGCTGCAGACGGGCTGCCTGTAAACAGTAACGATAAAAAAAAAAATACTCTAAAGTCTTCACACAATGAGTTTGTGGCTGGATAAATATCGACCGACGTCCCTTGGGAAACTTGACTATCACAAAGAACAAGCGACTCAACTGAAAAACCTGGTGAGAGCAGCTAGCTATTTATCCACAGGCTAGCTATAGCCTGTTATGTTACTGTATAGTTACTGTTATGGTAGCAACATGCTACCATATCAGGTTATAGCTCTGGCTATGTTTATGGTAATATTATGCTACCATAACAACATAAAAAATATTTCTACTGCTATGTTAATGAAACGTTAACCGCCAAAGTATATGAACTCTGAGCGTAAATTTAACATTGGCTATGTTTAATAAAAGTGTATCTCTGGATATTGTTGCGTTCTAGAAAGGTTTAAAGCCACTAGCCAGCTCCATTTGTTTTGTTGTAAATTTCTATTTATTCGAGGTCAAACCTATCCTTTAAAAACAAAGATTCTCCGGTGACGGAGATCGGAGAGACAAGTAGTACTTAAGTCATTTTATAAGAGGAAATTTTGCTCTGAAAACAGTCAAGTGGAAAGTTTACACAGGTTTAGAAAAAATAAAATGTTTTTTTGCGTGTGTGTGAAATACTGCAGTGGAAATATATTCTTCATTACCCAACAGTGGGTTTTTTTTATTGTAAATGTACATTTGTTGGTAAGAAAAATACCCTAGATGGTATTTCATGATTATTTTTCTTTAATTGTACCTTTAATAAACAAGATTGTAGAAACTATGTTAATATTTGAAGGTCTAAACCTCTATTTTTTTTATGGTTACTGGTACTATAATCATAAACTCAAGTGATTCAGTGGCTATGTTTTGTGTATTATGTAACAGTATTTTTTCTGTTTATGTAAATATATTTTTTAAAAACTGGACACCCACAGGAACTAAACATTTATTTTAATACTTGTTCCAGGTTCAGTGCGGCGACTTTCCTCACTTGTTGGTGTATGGACCATCAGGAGCGGGGAAAAAAACCCGCATCATGTGTCTGCTGAGAGAACTGTATGGACCAGGGGTGGAGAAGCTTCGCATAGAACATCAAACTATTGTGGTGAGAGGAGAATTATTAAAACAAAAACACTTTTAGACCCTGCAGTTCATGATGGGTTTCCAACACTGACAGTACCTGATCAAATTATCAATCATTTAATATTTAAAAATCACGCAATCAGACCAAAATATAAAGATAAGTGGAAATTTTGGAGTTTTAGGGATGAAAATGACAATAATTCATATAAGGAACAAAATAAAATCAGGCAAAAGAAAATGTTTCCAAATCAGTTACTTTCATGAAACTTTAACAAAAAACTGCAGGTGTGTGTCTGAATCTGGTGAATTTTTTCTTAAAACATGTTTGTTTTTCATTCAGTGGGTAGAAAATCCAGAATTTTACTCAAGTAAGAGTAGCAATACTTCATAATAAAATTACTCAAGCATCACTATTCTAGTACTGCCATTCTCCCGATGAGACATTACACATAATATCTAATATAATGTTATACATGTTGATATATAATCACTTGGAATGTTTGCTTTGTCTTTGACTTCAGGCTCCATCAAAAAAGAAAATTGAGATCAACACAATAGCCAGCAACTATCACTTAGAGGTTAACCCAAGGTAATAAAAAAAGAAAAAGGAAGCATTAAACCATGTCGAAGTTTTTGTTTTTTTTTTATTTGTGGCGTTTTTGTTGCTGTTCAGAGGGAATACAATGTAACATGAAACATTATGTCTTTGTTGTCCAGTGATGCGGGAAACCAGGATCGTGTGGTGATCCAGGAGCTTATTAAAACTGTGGCCCAGTCCCAGCAAATCCAGTCCAGCACTCAGAGAGAGTTCAAAGGTAGAAGAGACTGTCTCTGAGTCTCAGTGTGTGGCGTAGAGCTGCTGTGCTAAGAGAGTAAAGCTTCCTAGAAATAATAATACGTTTCAAAAAAAGGATTTTCTTTTCTCCCAGTGGTGCTGCTAACAGAGGTGGACAGACTCACTAAGGACGCCCAGCATGCCTTGCGACGCACAATGGAGAAATATATGGCTACCTGTCGCCTCATCCTCTGCTCGACATCCACCTCGAAGGTCATCGGGCCGATCCTGAGCCGATGTCTGGCTGTCAGAGTTCCTCTGCCCAGCACAGAGGAGGTAAAGAGGAGCTTTGGGGTGGTGGGGACAAACTTAATTGGATTACAATCATAGGGAAATGAGATTATAAATAGGATCCATTATAAATAGGACTTGGTCTTTACCAGAACTCTAAATTTGTCAAAGCTGTCCTTATCTTGATCTATTTTCCTCCAAAGATTATTCACAAAATTGTTTCAGCAATCTTGTATTCGTGTAACTTTGAAAGCCTGAATTATTTTGTCAAATTCTTTTAAATTGAAAAGACATTTTCTCGGTAAATCTTGCAAACAAGTTATACTTTTAATCTTTAGTTATTCTTAGATTGACTGAGTCTGAAATATATCTTTTTGGATGTTTTTTGCCTTTGATTGTTGCATTATCTAGTCTTGAGTTAAATGTTTCTAGTGTTCATCAGTCTTTCTAAGAAGCATGGTGTTAAAATAGTTTTAAAATATGCCTATAAGTGTCTCATGATTTATTTGTGCCAACAATCACTTCTCCAAGTCGTTTCGGATTTGTTTTCTCCTGGACACTGAGGAAACACAAACGGGTAAACTATGGACTATTACCTTCTGTGATCGTCCTGTTTTCACAGGTGTGCAGCATTCTGACATCGGTCTGTAAAAAGGAAGGTCTGGTGCTGCCGCCTGAGCTGGCCAAGCAGATCAGCGAAAAGTCGGGTCGCAACCTCCGCAGAGCTCTTCTGATGTGCGAGACGTGCAGAGTGCAGCAGTGAGTTGCGTCTTCGCAACAATGTTTTGCATGAATATTTTTGCAGAAATATACGCTCACGTGTCTCGTGGTGACATTCTACAGGTATCCATTCTCAGCAGATCAGGATGTGCCAGAGCCGGACTGGGAGGTGTACCTGAGAGAAACTGCTAATGCCATCGTCAGCCAGCAGAGTCCTCAGAGGTATGCTGGGAAATGCGTTTGTGTACAGGAGATGTAGTTGGGTTTAGGAAGAGCTGAGTCAGACTGTGAGATGTTCAAATGCAGGAAACCTTCTGTGTTTCAGGCTGTTGGAGGTTCGAGCCAGGCTGTACGAGCTGCTGACGCACTGCATCCCTCCTGATATCATCATAAAGGTCAAATCATGGTCAATTCTTCTTCCCTTTAAACTAGTTTTCAAATTCAAAAGAAATTTACCCTCTGCTTTCATGTAACAGGGTTTAGTGGGAGAATTGCTGAATAACTGCGACGGGCAGCTAAAGGCGGAGGTGGCCCACCTGGCTGCTTACTATGAGCACCGACTCCAACTGGGCAGCAAAGCCATCTACCACCTGGAGGCGTTTATTGCAAAGTTCATGGCCATGTACAAGAAGTTTATGGAAGACGGCCTGGATGCCATGATGTTTTGAGTTCGAGAGTTTTTGTGCCATAATTTGGAACAATTTATAGCAGTTTGGGTTTATGTAACTATTGGTAAATTCATCAGCACTGCACACAGACTATAAACCATTGAGAAAACACAAGTTGGAACTGGGAAGGTGGGGAATGTATTATAATGTTCAGAGAGGTTACAATAAATCACCATGTTGGTAACATGTAAAGTCTGCATCTCTGTGTTACAAGTACTACTTGTTCTTCAACTTGACTCTGAAGTTCAGCCTCAGTTAGTTTCATGAATTAAAACTTAATTTATTCACAAATTGTGCTTCCTCATAACATGTCTTACAACAGTGTCTATAGGTCTTTGAGACATTGCTTAAATAATTAATAAATTATAATTTAAGACACGTATGTAAGCACCAAAAGCCTAACAAATAGGCATGGGCCAAGTACCCATTGCTTAGAAAATGACCAGTTGTCATGGTGTGAAAACTGAAGGAGAGGTACACAATCACCCATATGTTAGGAGGAAAAGGTTTTAAAATTACAGTTTGTGAGCAAAGACTTACTATTGCTAAAAAAAAAGCCATAAATTGTCCAATTTGCAGTTTGTTGCAAGCCATACAGAGGATACAGCACACATGTAAAGGATGTTCCAAAGGTCAAAGTGTTTGACCTAAATGCTGCCCTAACACACCCTCTCCACAGTAAAACATGGTGGTGGCAGCATCATGCTGTGACGATGCTCCTATTAAGTCTGTTCTATTAACATCAAGTTGTTAATTTGTATTACTCCAGAGAGCCAAATGCCAAAAAGCTATAACAGCCTGTCCAGTCACTTGAATAAACTGTAGTATGTTTATTCTACATTTTTTCTGTTTATGCGTGAAAATCCTAGCAGCCATGAATAAGTACAATATATTATAACTTTAGGACATTTCCTTTTCTGTTTCATATAAAAACAATTATATGTATTAAACCTTTTGATAAAAATCATGGAAACTGATGTGGATTATAAAAGGGCCCATGCCTATAAAGCAATACCTAACCGTCACAAAGCGAGAAAAAATACATCTCGCATTTTAAAACGAAGCAAACATTCGTTTATATGTGTCTCTTTCTGATGTTGTACAAGTAATTTTTCTATATATCGATGGTTAAGTTTCGTATTTGTTTCTTGGAGGTAGAATTGATTTAGTTATAGTCGTATCCTAACGTTACTTAAGAACCGTTGAACCAGCAGCCCAGTCTGCATACCTTCCTCAGTAATACTCCTTGTGTCTCTTGGTGGTGTAGTAAATGATGAGACCCAGCGTAATCAGAACTCCTGAGCCCACTAGAGTCAAGAAGCCCACGACGGGCCTCCTGATGAGGACGTGGCAGCTGGGGCAGGGCTGTGGCAGCGCGGGACACTGCTGTGGAGACGCTCCGGGAATAGGGAACCCGTTGTGCTGGATGATGTTGCGATAGTTGGACAGGGAGGCCTTGACGATGACCTCCTCGTGGACCTGACCGTAAAGGCCGAACCCCGGGTCTCTTTGGTCGTTCAGGGCGTAGGCAAAGTAACCCTTCAGGTTGACACCATCCAGAGTAAATGCTGAGTGTGACAAGAAAGTAGTAATCATGTTTTATTTTCCTTCCATGTCTCAATTATGTAGTGGTTTGTGTTAATCCATCACGTAAAATCCATAGGAAACACATTAAAGTTTGCATCCATGAGGTAAGGAGGTGTGAATACTTTTGTGAGGCACAGCAAGCAACTGTTACTCAACAAATTGGTGAACACTGAAGGTTTTCAGCTGATATCCGTCAGGGGTCAGTAAATTCCTGTCTAATTATTAATCTCTACAGACGCCAATAAGGGACAAGATTCAGCTGTTTTAAAGCCCAAATCTCTTCTTTAACACATTCAGCAGTTAAAATATCAATAAAACGTGAAAACCGCTGTATTAGTCCTACCTTTAAGTGCCTCGTTAATGTAGTTATAGAGGTAATAAACTCGCAGAGAGTCTTTGAAACGGGCTGGGTCTTCCTGGACTCCGTTAGCCATTACATAGATGGGTACATCGCTGTAGTGCTGCTTTACCTTCACACAGAAAGAGCAAATATAACAATCAGACAGTTCTTCATTTAAATATCGTTATCCTCTGTGTATGAAGACAGTGCTGGGAACAAAGTCGCCCAGTCTCACCCAGTTTAGAGCCTTTCTCAGCCCCCAGGGCACGACGGGCCTTGGTGACATGATCCATGTTGTGTCTATCATGTGCTGAACCTCAAGCATCTCTGTGTAGGTGTATCTGCTCACATGGAGGTCACACAAAGCTCAAAACAGGACCCAGGTTTTTACTCCACTTTTGCTCAGTGCGCTTGTTTTTAGATCAAACGTAAATGGTAGGAGGAAAAGAAATGGTTTTGACTTACGAGTCTTCCTTGGCATGAGTCACAAGCTTGGTACTGAAGTGACTCATGGCGAAAAAGTCATACGTCCCTCTGACCAGCTGTCTGCGCTCCTCGTTAAAAACAGGCAATCTGTTTACATAAGAAAAGAGCTAAAGAGTAAAAGAGTAGACGAGAAGCGGTACCCATGGTGTAAAGTTGCCCATTTTTTGCCAATTCAATTTCCACATTTCATCTGTTTGAATTATGCAACACTTCAAAAAAGCAAGGAGACCGTCAGAAAGTAATAACTGCTCCTATTTGTGACATGACATTCAAGAAACCTTTCCAGGTAACTTTGTCAAAGAAAATAGCTGCAAACAGCAAACATTTTTGCCTTTTTTCACCTTTTCTATTTGGGAAACCTTTATTAATCCATTGGTAGAATGTAACATAAACTTATTTAAAATGCATCTATCTTCCTGACTCACCAACATACCATCAATATGCTAAATTACAGCAGTGAAACATGGCACTTGATAAAAAATGCAACCTACTGATAACATGTATGCAAAGTTATGTACTTTTTTATTTTGATTATTACACTTAATCGAAAACTCTATACATTATTGCTTATCATAATTTTGAGGAATGTTTCAAGTACAGAATGAGAAACCTTTTTGTTCTGCCTCTTTTAGAGTAACACTGGAAGTCTAGGACGCTGATACGAGCCGATTAGTCCGTCTCCATCTATGTATATGTAAATAAAACGTGTAATATTTAAATAGATGATTCTTTAGTTTCCACGCTATGACTGGAAATGACATCCAAACAGCTAAAACAAAGAAAGAAGTGTAGGAACCTTTGCTTTGGCAGAATAAAATCAGCGCTCAGAAACGAATGGGAGAGGCGACACGTTGCTATTCTACGCTTCATCCAATTTAAGAATTTGTATCCAGTCATCAACACACTGCAGCTGAAAAAGTGAAGAATAAAAAAAAATAAGGAGGATTTTTCTTTCTTCTTACTCAAGAGAGTTGAGCTGTCGCAGCCAGCTCCTCATTCCCACAGGATAATCGCCACTGCCGAAGATCGGCTCGGCCAGCCAGCCGACGTAGAAATCCAAAACCCTTTTCGCCGGCTCCACGTCCTCTCGGCTGAAGGAAAATGCCGGCTCCACCCAGTCCATGTGCAGAGCCAGAGACACCTAGGAAAGTGCATGATTTCAACAGATAAATTTGAAACTTTAAAAGGCGAGTTATTTAGCACAAGTGTTTTACTGACCTGTCCTCTTTGCATTTGTCTGAACTCCTGGTCGTAGGCGCGCCAGGCCAGAGCATGTGCCAGCAGCATCTGGTGGCCCTCCTGATAGCTCACCATCTCATCATTGGGTTCATTCAAGGTGATCCACATCTTTACATGGGCGCCCATTTCTCTGTAACAAAGCCTGGCATAGTCTGCAAAGGCCTTTGGTGTCTTACTGAGGACAAAATATGATATTGTCCGGTAAAACATCTGCAAGTACATTTTGACACAAAAGTAAATGCAAATACTCAGGTTTTATGTACAGTCTTGAGAAGTTTGGATAAGTAGAAATTTAGCTTTTTTTTTACTAACAACCCCCAATTCAGCCACCTTGACTACCAGCTAGAAAGAAGCTAGAAAGCAGGGCTCTGCTCAGAGCACAGTTACCTCCCTATTATGCTGTCATATGATTTAATATCTGCATCTAGGCATGTGGAAAAGTGTGTAACATATGATACTTATGTCTGTGGTTCTTTATACACTCCGTCTGATACGGCGCATGTGTAGATTTCACTTTACAGGATGAACGCGCGACTTTCCATCACGACAGTTCAGAGCTATTCTGGTGCCACAAAATGGCGAAATATTATTAGCCGGATTAATCAGAGCGCAGATTAGGTTGCTGACAGTTGGACTAGATTCGAGCATTTAGCAGGTGGACATGAGTAAATCTTCATCGTTGTAAACAGAGAGTATTGGGTCTGGGTAGGATGACATTTAGTCAGGTTGCTATCAGGTTATTATTGTCACATTTGAGTTGCACCCCTGTAAACACTGTTGCAGCTACGGACATCTTCAGTATTTTCAGCATATCAGAGGTTCGATACTTAGCTGGTGATCAAAGTCTGTGAACTACTGCAGCCCACATCACAGTATCGAAAGGAAGCTATGCACTAGTTCAGTGACACTGTTTTAAAAAAATATCTGCATCGAAATAATTGGCTAAACGTCTCACCTGTTGAGCCACCCGTTGGCAGTGTCGAGCGGAGTTGGCAGGTTGCTGCGCTGCCGCGTGTGATGCCAAAGGGTGACCACAGGTGTGACGTTGGCCTGCACCAGCTGACGGGTAAAGCAGCGGTAATATCCCAGCAGGGTGGTGTTGGGATAAGCCACGTCACCTGTGGGCACCAGAGCAGACCAGTTGAGGGAAAAGTGGAAGTGGTTTACCCCCACCTGCCTGATTTCATCCACCTGAAATAAGGCAGGAATAAAAACAGTCAGTTAAGCAGATACAGTTTATAGCTTTTCATTAAAGTTAACTTTTTGTTTTGCAGTTATTTATCTCAATTGACAAAGCCAAGCAATAATAAATGTCAATACTACACAATGCGAGAAAAGACAAAGATAAAAACTGTTCTCCCAAAACTACATTCAAACTAATCTTAACATTTATGACTTAAAGTAACTATACTTTAAGGCGAGACGAGACAAATGAGCATCAAAATGCTCATGTAAAACACATCCAGGACTCTGGATTTATTTCTCAGTTTAAAGCTGGACAGCTGGGAGATGGTTGGCAGGCTCACCTGTTGCCGG